CGCCAACCTAAAAAATCAAGCAATATTAAAGATATATGTTCCATTAAACTAAACTAAGTTTAATGGAAAGACATGATGTAGAATTTACTGTTGAGCCCAAGAGCTCCATGAGAGTGAGACCTGGGCCTTACCTGTGTCGGTAACCGAGGGGTGTCTGGCACAAAACCTAAAAGCAGGTATTACAGACGATAAGGAAGCAAGATGGCGAAGTAGAAGGACACTCGTAGCTCACCCTCTCCCACAAATACACCAAAACTCACATCTACGGACCCACTCAGCCAACCAGAGCACCTGCCCAACTCCGACAGAAAGAACATCACCCTCTTTGGAAGACAAAGACACCAAAAATCTGGTTGAAGTAGAAGAGAACAGGAACAAAAGTAGTGAACTGAAAGGATCAGAAACCATGTGTGATGCAGTTATGATAAAGGATTAACTCACCAGACGAAGAGGGGAAAAACTAATGACCATCAGTTTCCTGCTCTGCAGAAAGGAGATTCTGATAGCTTGCATATGAAGGAAGTAAAGAAGGAAAGTGGAAAACGGACATTAAAAGCATCTGTGACTTCACGTGTATTTGCGAAGACTGCCTCACTGGCTGGTGGTCTCCTACACATGAATGACAACAGCAGTTTAAGTGAAGGAGATCAAGGTCGTGGCAGGTCTTCAAAAGAAAACATCTACTAAAAAGGACAAGGTCAAAGAGCAGATTAGTTCTGTGGATGACCCTGATGACTTAACTCTGTCACCGGAAACAGCTTCCGAGGATTGCGAGTCGCTTTACTCGAAGTATAAGAATATCCTGTTGCTAATCAAACAACTTGGCCTGGAGTGTAAAGACTGTTAACTTATTGAAAATTAAGGATGCAGTTCATTTATTCAGAAGATTAACAGAACCTAAAGAAATCAACTGTGAACTACTTAGAAGAAAAAATTTTAAAAATGGAAAATAAAGTTAACAGGCTACAAAAAGAGCTGTTGGAAACAAGGGAAATGAATTCACAGAATGTCAAAATGTGGAGTGGGTACGAGAGCTCTGCAGTGTGAGATTCACATTAAAACAAGAAACAGGAAAGAAAAAAATTGCTGATATAGTCTATGAAAAAAAAGGATGACTTAAAAAGAAAAGACAAACAATACAATGAACAAGTTCACCTGAAACAGCAAGTCCGAGCACTAGAATTCGAACTGAAGAGCTTAAGGCATAAACCGAGCCAGGCCTGTGTGAGACAGCTTCAGCAAGGACTGACTGACACCCGAAAGAAACAGCCCATGTCGAAGGCCTCCCTGGAGGTGACAGCGCATCATCAGACTCCTTTAGAAAATGAGACACAGGATTTAGAGAGGAAATTACATCAAACTGCAAATGAAAATGCTGATCTTATAGCAAAACTGGAATCTACATCTTCAGTATTTTTCCATCTGAATGCAGAAACTCAACTTCTTCTAAAGGAGTTATTGTCTATGCAAGAGATGCAAAACAAATGTGAAAAACTAGAGGAGGAGAAAAAGAAGTTGGAAGAAGTAGTGAACCTCAAATGTCACCTAGAAATGAATACCGTGGAACGCAGTCAAGTGCAGCAGAACAAACGGGAGACTGAAGAGCGAGCAAGACAGGACGTAGTAGAAAAATGGAAAGGAATCAGCCAGTTTTTACAGGTACAAGCACCATCTCAAGAAAACTTGAGAGAGAATAAAAATGCTTCAACAGGAAGTCAAATGGAACACAAAATTAAATATCTGGAATCTGAACTCCCCAGAAGTAAACCTCTGCAGTTCAATTCTAACAAAAAAGAATTAGAAAAATACAGACAACTGCACCTGGAAGAGCTAGAAAACAGAACGCAATTGGCAAGTCAGCAAAACTCGGCTAACAAGAGGCTGGCAGAGATGAACACTGAACTTCAGATGGAGAAACAGCACAAGAGTTCTTTCCCATCAGCACTGTTCCTACAAGGCCTGTTGACGGGCCACCTTCCGCTGAAAATTTTAATAATAGCTTAGAGCCCAAAAGGATTTTCTCCGACCCTTCAGCTAGCACGGGCGACTACTTGTTCAGGATGCAGAAGCTGGAAAATAATATAGCTGAGATGTAAAAGAAGCTACTACTGAACTCCACTCTGAGTCCTACAGACTTTCTCTTGGATCTACGGACGAGTCAAGTCTAAGTCAAGATCTGGTTTTGAAAGCACGTCAAGAATATGTGAAGGTTTTGAAGAAGTATATGATCTAAAAAATAAATGCGAAAAATTTATCTGCTGCGCTGTTAAACATTTTCGTTACTTCCCGTTAAGTAAGATATTCACAATGCTTATTAAAGGGAAATATTTTTGCATTGTATGTGCATGATTAAAATTTACGTAGTATTTAAAAAATAAAATAAAAGCAGGTATTACATAAATGTCCACAAAATATGCTTATAACTCTTAAAGATTATTTAGCTATGTTAAGACTTACCATAAAAAATGTCAACATAGAAATCCCTGTACCTCTTAAGATGCTCACTAACATCTTTGAAAGGCTGCAGGTGTTTCCCAAGGAATTTTCTTTCATCAGTCCCCGCAGTGAGAGTTACAGGAACTGTGGAACATGGATGCTAATATTCTGAGTAAGCACAAGCATTAACACACATGCAGACTTTAATTTCTGTACCTATGGAGGAATCCAATTTAAGTATCCTTTATCCACTTAATTCACCAGGTTCTCTGATGGCAAATAAGAATAATTAGAAAATATGACGATGCCCCTTTCCGAGCTTTCCCAGACAGGGGAAGCTTTCAGGAGGAAGCCATGCTGGCCGCGTTCTCATCCGCCATGCCGTTCTCTCCCCTCCGCAGAGCCCCTGCTGAGTTACATGCAGATCGTGACGGAGATCGTGGTCCCCACGGTCTGCACCCTCTGCATTCTGATCGCTGCGGTTCTCCTGATGCTCCTGCTGCGGAGCCTGAGCTGAGACAGGCTCTCCCGTCCGGCGGCTGCATCCTTCACAGGGCACCTTCAGGCTCTTGCTCCTTTCTCTGCTCTGAAGCTTTACATGCATCTCTGTTTTCAGGTTCTGTGATAATTACCTTTTTTTTTTCCTCTTTTTTTTTTTTTGGCGGGGGAGGAGGGCTTGTGCTGGGATTTAAGAATGAGAAAATAAAAATAAGCACAAATGAAATAAAAACCACCTGTAATCTCAGCCCTCTCAAAGTCAATGTTAATATTTTGCTGTATGTTATGCACCTATTTTCCTTTTGCAAAAGGGGATCATAGCGTACAAACTGCTGTGTGATTCGGATGTTTCATTTTAAAATCTCCCCAAATACTATTTTAAAGTAGAAATGATTGCCACATCAGCACTGCCCTACAAATGAGAGACAGTCAATCATAGATAACAATCCTTTCCTATTAGGCAACCAGGAAAAAGCATTAGGTGGGCACCAAGCAAATGAGCACATTCGCTTTTCTAAGAGAAATTTTCTAATGCTAAATTAATTTCCTTTACTCAATGAAATACCTCAAAGAAATATTATACATATAATTTATAAATCTTCTCTGTAACTAGATTTTTTTAAAGGTCCATTTTATTCTTAACTATGCTAAAATGCTAAAATTAATAACCACTTATTTGGGTACAAAACACAGTTTAAGAAAGAATGATGTTAGGCATTTTATTCATGATCTGACTCTATTTAATGCTGTTTCTGAAACACAAAAACAGTAAGATAGTAGAAAATGCTATTCCATTAATTCTTTTGGTTAATACTACCTCAGATTAAACAGTTTAAAAAGGGTGTTTACAACTGGGGCTCAGTCCTACAGCTAGGCTGGGTTACACTTGTTTTTAACAAAACTTCGCTTTCAATGTCAAATCAGCATGCCTACTTAGGGTTTTTTTCTTCCAACAATGGTACTGAAACCAAACTCTCTTTCTACTATAGATACAGATTTCAAATGCAAAGACATTACCACTTAAAAAAGTTTTTTTTCATTTCTCCGGTTTTAGGATTAAACTGTCAGGTGACTACAGAAGGTAGAAAGGAAATTAAAGACTTGCACTGCTCAGTAACACCTGGTAAGCCTTTTATGTGATTACTAATAATCCATATTCCAAATGTATTAAATCAGCATTTATGTTGTAGAAAGAACAAAAACATAAGGTACTTAATATATTACACAGTATTGGGAGAGAACAAAAAATGAACATACTACCTTAGAGTGGACCCCAGCAGCACATATCACTTGAAATGCACCTGGCTGCAGGTGACCATGTTAGTAAAGAATATTCTTTCTTCCAGGCTACTGTTCAATGTTAACTCAGAAAAATCTATAACCAGAGAGACAGAGAGATCAGAATCGTTTACCACCCTGCTGGCTTTTCTACTATACATCCTGCTGAATTTAACAGTGATTAAGCAGCAGCCTGAATGACGTGTGTGTTCTACTTTCAGAGAATTTATCAGACAAAAATCAGCAAAGGCGATTCCTTTAAACAGTAAACCCTCCTGATGTGTCGAAAACATGACTAAACAAACTAAAAAAGCAAGCAGATTTTTTTTAAAAACTCTCTCTTGTTAATTTGGGCATCTACTGCTTTATTTTTTGTGCTTCATCCTACAGTTAAACAACTGTCTTTTTCCCCCTCGTAATATAGAGTTCAGAAAACATTTTCTACTTAGGATTTATAGTCTTGATACATAGCCTTTTTTTTTTCTCCTGAAGATGACTGTTTTTCAAAAATAAATGGTATAATTAACATTTAGATGAGATAGCGTCCACTTCCTTGGGGGTCAACATTTTGGCTTCCATATACCCACCATTACCAACGACATTTGCCGAGCGCCCACTGGGGTGAGCAGCACTCTACTGGACACGGTTTTTCTCCCTCATTAACTCCAAATCATTATTCTTTCTTCCCAGGGCAGCTAAAAGTACCCTCTTCTCTCTTCAGCCTTCCTGCTTTGGATGTCAACTATTTTACTCAAGAGCATCATTCCATTAGACATCTTACAAAGCTAGTATTTGACCTAAGTGCTCAGTCCAATGACACAGTCTAGTTTTGTAAATGCTTATGATCTGGCCAAAAAAAAAATTATTGGGCCTTAATATTTATAACTGAGGCTTTGTTTGAATAACCCATGACTTTTACGAATGAGATCCTCCTTCAACAGTGGGCCTTGCTTTGGGCCAAAGGTCACTGGATAATTTCTAGACAAACACATCAAGAATATGTGATGGGTAGAAGAGGTTATAAAGTTCAAGTCAAAATGGAGTTTGAGTTTGTTTCCAAGCAGGCAAATATATGATTTCATAAAAATTCCTTATTTTCCTAAAAGGAGTCTCTGGACCAATAGATGAGCACAGTGTTTTAACTCTTAACATTCAAAATAGCTTTCATTCTTTTTTTGAAGCAACCTCATCAGAAAGACTCTAGAAGACATGTTCAGCATACTGCACTATTTCAGCATCATTGGAAAAAGGCATTTAATCTTGTGTGAATCTCCTCATCTCAGAGGTTTAATCTTTATGTAATAAAGTTTATTTTTAAATGGCATTTTCCAAAAATGTATCACATTTATTCATGTCTTCAAAACTTCTTTTAAATCATAAAATACATTTCTTTAAAAAAAAAAAAACCTGAAACAACAAATGGAGATAAAGTAAAATGTATGAATTGGTGGGTTTTTAATCTTAGTTGCACAGTGGAGTCACCTGGAGAACTTTAAAAATTACGATGTCCTGGCTCTGCCTCCAGTGATTCTGACTTACTTGGTCTGGGTATTAGAACTTTAAAAGCTCCCCAGATGATTCTAATGTTCGATTAAAACTGAGCACCACCCTCTGCCCTCACCATTCCACACCTCAAGGTTAAGCTTTGTCTCCTTTCAGACCTTTTTCTATGGTCCAGGCCCCTATTTTTGCTCCTGCAAACAATACCACCATTAATAATCTGGTCTGTAGGCCTTTTTGCACAGGTCTAGTTATATACGTGGAATAAATTCTTAATAATGGAACTGCTGGGCCAAAGAATGTATTCTTCAAAAATCTGGTGAATAGCACCCTCTACAGAAGCCACACCCCTTCACACTCCACCCGGCAGTGTGTGGTTTCTCCCAAATCCTGGCCAGCACTGTGACACCAAACTTTTTGGCCTTTGCTAATTTGACAGATGAAAGATGATATTTACATAATATAAATTTGCATTCCTCTTATTATAGGTGGGGTTGAGCACCTTTTATTTTTAAGATGACATCTGAATTTCCTTTTTGGTAAACTGTTCATGTTACTTGCCCATTTTTCTATTGAGTTACTTATATTTGTCTCAGTGATTCGAAAGTTCCTTGTATACTAGGGAAGGTAGCCCCTTTTCCGAACATGAGCTGCAAATTTCTTTTCCCAGTTTATCATTTGTCCGTTGCTTTGCCTCTGGTATTTTTTGCCAGGCAAAAATATTTCTATTTTTATATAGTTGATTTTCAGTTTTTTATAGCCTCCAGGTTTTATATCACACTTAGAAAAGATAGCATGATTTTAACTGATGGTTCTCAGGAAAATTTGGTTTCTCTAGGACTTTAACAGTTCAGCCGTATGAAGACAGGAGTTTCCATTCTAGTTGAGAGAAACTTCCATTATGCCTGAATCAAAATATATTTGGGAAGGGGGGCAAGTATAAACATTTTTTGGAAATAATTTTGCAAGCTATTAATCACTATAATAGGACTATTCGTATTCCCAGCCTTTCAGATCTTCTTGAATTCTGTTTAAATAATATCAGATTTTATTCTGGACAATCCTTGCAATATTTGAACTAGCCATTTAAGACTTATACAAATAGAGAATAAGAGATGTCAGCACCATGTGGTCCATGTACTTACGGAAGGAGGAAGACTTGGTGGGTCAGCTAATTATACCAGGGGCTAAAAGACAGTCTTTGACTGACATGGACCATGTCTGACAGAATACTACAAACTAACCCTTTCTCCACCACACAGAGGGCATCAGGGCAGAAATACCATCACTGTTTTAAACAGCACACCAAAGTAAAAAGTATGAGCTGGCATTTCCATTTTATAACCTTGTTCTTACACCTATGTCCCTATGGCTTGACCTCTATTAATAAGTTCCTTTAGCCAGGACAGTGAGAAAAAGCACTCTCTCATGATTTTTTTCCCCCAGAATAAATAGGTTTTTACCTAGAGTTGAGGGAAATTATTTAAAACTAGGCCCAAGAGCTCTAATAAAAATATCTGCTAGTAAACTTAGTTTATTTTCTATTGGAATAATTAATGTGGAGAGACTACAAACCATCCTCACCAGGTTTGTGAAAACTGAGATGGTCTACAGGTGGGCTGTCACTCAGTTGCCAAACGGTTTTCACCTTCTTCTGACCGCTATTTATCTCCACTCTCCATTTCTGTGGCTTCTCACTAAGGAAAAAAAAAATCAAAGAAAAAACCCAGTTCCTTCTATAGTCAGTGAAGTCCTGATGTGACAAGCAGTGAGGAAGAGGTGGAGAGGTCACAGTTCCCACCTGAAGAAGCACAGCAAAGAGAGGGAGAGAAACAAGGTTGTAAGTGACAACAATTCAGTGCAGCCGCTACGGAAAACAATACGGAGGCGCCTTAAAAAAACAAACTAAAACTAGAGTTACCATGTGATCCAGCAATCCCACTCCTGGGCATATGTCCAGAAAAGATGAAAACATTAATTTGAAAAGATACATGCACCCTAATGTTCATAGCAGCACTATTCACAATAGCCAAGACACGGAAGCACCCTAAATGTCCATCAACAGATGACTGGATAAGGAAGACGTGGTATATGTACAATGGAATATTACTCAGCCATAAAAAAGAATGAAATAATGCCATTTGCAGCATCGTGGATGAACCTAGAGATGATCATACTGAGTGAAGTAAGTCAGATGAGAAAGACAAATATTACATGATATCACTTATGTGTGGAATCTAAAAAACTGATACAAATGAATTTATTTACAAAACAAAAACAGACTCACAGACACAGAAAACAAACTTGTGGTTACCAAAGGGGAAAAGGGGGAAGGAACAGATAAATCAGGAGTATGGGATTAGCAGATACACATTACTATATACAAAATAGATAAGCAACAAGGATTTACTGTGTAGCACAGGGAACTATATTCAATATCTTGTAATAACCTATAATAAAAAAGAATCTGAAAAAAATATGTATAACTGAATCATTTTGCTGTGCACCAGAAACTAATACAACATTGTAAATCAATTAAACTTCAATAAAAATAAATAAGTTAGTAAGTAAATAATTAGTCAATTTTGAAAAATGCTATAATTGAGAAATACCGGATGTGGGAGGGGACAATAAAAGAGCGGTAAATTAACTTAGATTGGGAATGTAGAGTTGGAAAAAGAGTCCTCAGAGATTGTGGCCTTTGAGGTAAGCTTTAAAGGAAATTGTAAGCAGAATTAGTTAAATAGACAAGGTCCAGGATGAAGGAAGGACATGGGTGTGGGCACTAAGGGCTCAGTGTGGGGCGCGCCTGAGGAAACACAGTCAGTGACTCAAGAGGAGATTGGGAAGACGTGGTGGCACATGGGCCAGAATGGCGCAGAGGCCTCACAGACCACACTGAGTGCTGGAACAGTGTCCTGAAGGTAAGGGAGTCACTTAAACAGAAGGAAGTCAGGTGATGGATCTGAATTTTAGGTAGATCACTTCGGCAGTGACACAGAGAAGGAGGATGATGGAGGTGGACAGAGCAGCTAGGAGAAAGGATTTAGCATACAGAGCCTACATACGAAATGAGGCAATGATGACGTGAGGATGTAGAGAAAGGAACGGATTCAAGAGCTTCTAAGACCCCTGGTAACCATTTAAAGAGAGAGGAAGTGACAAGAGCAAGGAGAAGGTAAGTGTTTTGGGCATCAGATGGAGATTAATGATGACCGCTTGGGAGAGGAAATACGGGAGTAGGAAAAATGTTAGGAAGAAAGTGAGGAGATCGGATTTAGAGTCTGAACGACCTACAGGATGTTGAAGTTGAGGATTCACGTCTAACAGACGTTTAGAAACACGGGTGTGAAGCGCAGAGGAAGCAGGAGGTACGGGTTATGAATTATCATTGGCCCAGAGGAACTGAAGCCTTGGGTGTGAACGCAATCACCTAGGGAAGACAGAAAGGAAGAAAAGAAGACAGAGAGGGTGGAGGTCTGGTGAGAACTCAGATGAAGGAGGCAGAGGAAGGAGAACTTGAAATGGGAACTATTCTCAGTCTTGGAGGTGGGCCAGAGAGGTAGAGTTAAAATTAAGATAGAATATTATTCATGAAAACAAAGGAAGGGGCTAGGTTCAAGAGAGCAGTAGTGTGAATGCCAAAGAGCCTTACAAGTACTTAGTGAACAGGAGAGAACTGGTGGGCCAGCTAATTACACAAGGGGCCAAAACACACTCTTCTGGAAAGTGTCCTCTGGATTTGGCAATGACCGGCAACTTTTGTCAAATAATTTCAGGGGGGTGATGGGGTTTGGCTAAGCGGGATCTAAACAGAGGGAGGGTCCAAATCGAGTACGAGAAAAATTTCAAGTCTGTCATATGCTAAGGAGAAGAGTCAGGAGAGACCGTGATTTGAGGCGACTGCACCGTCTGGGTGGATGGCTCATCTACCATCTAAGCCTCAGTTCCACCCCTCCCCACATCCTCCTCTCTCTCCCTCCCACAGCCATACCCTTGACTTTGTTGTCATTACCCCAATCACTTTCCTCCTAATCTGTCACTTCCCTTCTGGCTAAACTTTCTGCCCTCTTCCGTAAAGGAATTACAAATTAAGAGCAAAATCAAAGAGTAGAAGACCACTAGTCTAAAGAGAACAAACAAAAGTTCTGGGAGGAGGAAGAGGCAGGACTCTATCAGACTATGTTCAGAGAAAGGGAATCAGAGGATTATGGTTTCAGAGGTCAAGTAGGTCCAGGTCATGAGGTCATGAGGAGCTGACACCGAAAATGCCTAGAAATCATGGCTGGACTTGAAGCATATTTAGTTATTAAATTGCATACCTTTGATATAAGTTTTTTACAGCAGTTGGTCTGACTGGCAGCTGAAAAACGTGTTGCTCATCAAGAGGATTTTGTTTATAATATTTTATGCAGGATCTTAAAAAAAAAAAAAAAAAAAAAAGAATCACTGGAAAAAGATGCCACTTAGAGAGAAAGGCTTTCTGGTTGCCTAAAGCTCATAAGGGAAACATGAAACTCCCCGTTATCAACAATACTTAGGTTTTTTTTTTTTCTTACAAAGGAAATTTCATTTCCTTTTAAAAAATTAATAGTGGACATAGTTCTCATAAATGGAAAATATATTTAAGTTGAGTTCAAGTCAGGATTTAAGTGGGAGAAAGAGGTACCAGAAAGAAAACAAAGAGGCAAAAGATCCAGCCTCCACTGTTTTCCAAATACAGGGAATTAAAGAGTTAACTCACATATACTACTGATCTTTAATGCGGGAAAAAAACCCAGTAACAATTTCAAACTTTCCCTTCACAAATGAGGCAACTCTCATTTTGGAAAAGGCAATGGTGTATCTCCTTCTACAGGGAAAAAGAAACCTATTCCTTCCACTCAACGGTTCACTTCCAGTTTGAAGTCTAAAAAAAATACACGTAAGACACCAGCAATCCATGTGCAAGGATTATTCCCACCTGTTTTTAGTCCAACCAATCGATAGGATTGCTAAAATTTCAGCAATTACTATTGACAGAGGTCTGGTAATAAAATTTGCTTCCATTCAGTTACCATACAGATGGCTGGCCATTAGTTTGACCCAAATTCTACAAGGATGTTAAGAGAAGGTGAGGAGGGTGTAGCGCAGCGGTAGAGTCGGTGCTCAGCATGCACATGGTCCTGGGTTCAATCCCCAGTACCTCCGTTAAAAACAAATAAATAAATAAACCTAATTACCTTCCTCCCACATCTAAAAAATACTTGAAAAAAAAAAAAGAAGGAACTATTTATCAAGCATCTATTAAGTGTCAGGCACTTTATATATATTTCAACCTTTTTATAGATGAAACAAGCTGCAGGGAAAAGCAACTTCCTCAGAAAGTCAGGATGGACCAGCTCCAAGTGTCCAACCTGATTCCTCCCGAATCCTAAGCCTGTCCTCCCACCGCAGGGACTTAGAACCATCCTGCTACTGTGAGGACGGGGAGCACAGATTCCATCCTCACTGATAATTTTAAAAAAGGCGCTTATCTGGCTGCAACTATTTCAGAAGAGAATACATTTTAATGCAAGTCAACAAGAGAGAGACACTTACTGCGTTAAGGAAAAGAGGAGCTCGTGTTGAGGTTTGATGAAAAGCCTGCAACTGACTACTATTGCAAGAATGTGGTGGAGTTTTTGGACGCGATAAACTTGTTCTTGTATATCTACTGATGGAGAAATGAAATATTCCTGAAATGAAAAAAGGGAAAGGAAAACGGGGAATTAATGAACAAGTGGGATCTTTGGAAAGACTGTAACTTGCCCGCTTGACCTACATGTGCACGACTGATTAACAGGCCTGGGGTGGGGTCGGGGGAAGACAGCAGGCAGCCAGACAGCTTTCCTCCTTTCAATGCCACTCCTCAAACTAAACTCTAAGTCCTCACTGAGAATGTTCTGAGCCAAGCACATATCCTCTGGCCAAGGGAAATCACAGAACTGCTTCACCAAGGAGGCCCAAGGAGGTAACTAGGATCCACCCACCAAACTCTCCAGATGGAAGGAGGGGCAAAACCCACAAGATCATTCTTAACTTCAACACACTTGCTAGGTTGATGGGAGTACCCACCCCTAAAAATACATAGTAAACTTGAAGCACCAATAAATTAAGCAAGTATATCAGCAAGCTTCCACTAGCATGTATTACTGGTATGACTCTTTGAAAAAGAAACTTGGCAGCCTTACGCCAAGCATCATAAAACGCCGAGATCTGTTTCTGAGAACCCGTCCTAAGGAAACATTCCATGATAGATACGGTCAGTGGAATTCTTCCACAACTCGCCCCTCACTGGAATACGTATCTTGTATACTCCCTTCCCCTTGAGCGAGGCCAGACCTGTAAATGTGATGGAATGTTACCTCCATGATAAGGTTACTGATGGACTTTGGGTTTTTCCTTTCCTTTTTTTTTTTGATTGAACCCAGGACCGTGTGCATGCTAAGCAAGTGCTCCATCACTGAGCTATACCCTCCCCTACTACTAATTGACTTTGAATTAATGAATTGGTCGTTAGTATGACCTAGTGAATGAGCTCTTTAAGGAGGTGAAGCATGAGAGATGCTCTCCTGCTGGCTTTAAAGAAACAAACTGCCATGCTGTGGAGAGGGCCACAGGGCCAGAACCCACAAGCAACCTCTAGGACCTGAGACTGGTCCTGGGCCAACAGCTAACAAGAAAACGGGGACCTTCATCAAAGGGCCACAGGCAAATTAATTCCACCAGCAACAAGTGAGGGAACTTGAAAGTGGGTCTTTCCCTAGTCAAGCCTCCAGATGACACCTTGATCTCAGCCTTGTGACACCCTGAGCAGAGGACTCAGCTAAAAGGCGCCCAACTCCCAAAAACTGTGAGATAAGCTGTGTTCACTTAAGCATTTAGATTTTGTTAGGCAGCGACAGAAAACTACCACAGTGAGGGAAAAGCCATAGCCATCTCTTAATTAATTGGGGGTAGTGGCTAGGAGGTAGGAGAGATCCATGGATAAACCTAAATTATAGTTTAAAAGAAGCTTGGCAAAATGTGACAAATTGAATGCAAATTCATCTATAATGAAATCCAAAATACAGGGACATATTTCTTGTCTTACACAGGTTATTCTAAAGTGTGAAAATAACACAAGTAGGGGAAGAGGCAAGGGCCCAGGAAGGCAGCAGCCCAACACAGCCCCGCTCACCACTGGCTACAGACTACAGTGTTCCTCGCACCTGCCACCCGTATTCCCAGCGGTCCCCTGGAAGTGGACAGCCCCAGGTCTTTCTCACAAAGGAACAGACCCAGAGTGCCTTTCCCCTCTGATTCTCTCTGCTCTTGCTACAACCCAGGCTGGTCCACCTGGGTTGACCTAGGTGACACAGCCTGATTACCTGGAGACAGTGTAGCCTCATGAGGGTTTCTCAAGGCGTGGTCTGCCATGCTACACAGACAACCACCCCCAGAAGACATCCATGTCCTAACCCCGGAACCTGCAGGTATGTTACATTCATGGCAAAAAGGAATTAAGGTTGCAGACGTATAAGGTCATTTGACCTTGAAATAGGGAAAGTGTCCTGGATTATGCAGGTGAGCCCAATCACACGCGCTCTTAAAATCGGACAAGGGAGGCAGGGATACAGCATGAGAAGGACTCGACCCTCTATGTAGCTGGCTTTAGAGATGGAGGAAGGGAGCCAGGAGCCAAGGTATGGGCTGGTCTTTGTAAGCTGAGAACACCCCTCAGATTACAGCCGGCACGAAAAAGGGACCTCAGTCCTACAAGCACGGGGAACTGAATTCTGCCAGTAACTCAAAGGAGTAGGAAATGGACTCTCCCCTACGAGCTCCAGACAAGGACACAGCCTGCCAACGCCCTGATCTGAGCCTAGTGAGACCCAGCCTGGCCTTCTGAACTACAGAACTATAAAGTAATACATTTGTGTTGTTTTAAGACACTAAGTGTGTCATAATTTGTTATGGCAGCAATACAAAACTAACGTACCTGCAAATCCCCTGCATCCAAATCACCCGGAGATGGAGACAGTTTGTTTAAAAAGATGTATTCTTCCCTGCATATCCTAGTTCTAGCCAAAAGCAACTGACTGAGAATCTGATAAAGCCACAAAGGGTTCGTCCACCCCCTCACCCTCCAATAAAAGACGTATTCTGGAGCCCCAGACCTACTGAGTCACTGGGGCCCAGGAATTAGCATTTTAATAAGCCTTCTAGGAAACCGCCAAAGTTTAAGGACTACCGTGTCAAGTCTGAAGTCAAACCGAATTTTTAAAAATAGGCATATGAAATGACTTGAGGGGAATTCATAAAAAAGTACTCACATTTGAGTGATGAGATCAAGAGTATATTTGCAAAAATGTTATTTAAAAAATGTATACCAAAAATTTGTACTAAAAATATATACTCTTAATAAAATGTTTAAAAGCTGAATAGCAAAAACCAGTGTCAAAAGAATCCAGTTGTATCTTCCTTTGCATAACAGATAAAGCTAGAGGTTTCCTATCTTGTATTTTTATAAGAAGCCAGATGTCATTTGAAGATTCATTTTCTAAAAAAATCCTCCAACAAATGTCAAGGGTCAGTACAGATGCCCTTCAATCTCCTTAACTTTCTAAATCAATACACGAAGAAAACACAAAAGCGCACGATCATGGCCCTGAAACCCTCAAGTATCTTTTGAATCAATATGTTAAAGAGCATAGCGAATTCTTTGGAAAGTAATCCTTAATGTGTAACAGAAATGGGTCAAGTGAATATAAAGCAAATATTCCTTTAGAGGGCCTGTCAAAGAAAGGCATTCCCTGCCATTTCAGACAGATGAGAGTTGGGGGGGGGGTGGGGGTGCAATGGCTTGAGCAGGATACAACTTTATGTCAGTATCATCAATTTACAGAGAACAAGAAATGACACTGTATAGGCTACTTTTTTGGTCTGCCTTACCAGACAGTATAATTAATTGATTGTCTTATTTATCTGTTTCCTAGGACCTAGGACAGAGACTGGCACAGAGTGGGCACTTAATAATGTTATGCAGAATGACTGAATAAAAAATCAACTTCAGAATGAAAAAATAAACTCACCAAATGATTCAAAGATGCAAGTTCCTGACCTATCAAGAAAAAACCACATATATGCACATAAGCTTTAGGCATTATCTATTACCTGTTAAGCCATCTAAGAAAACAATTTCAGAGTTCATACATGAAAGGAATCATCAAGCTAAACAATTTAGCACAAAAGGCCAAATTTTCTGCTACATTACACCATATACATATGCTAATATTTATTCTAAAAGTGATCACAGTTTGCCCCTAATCAAATCAGCCAAGTGATATGTATTAAAATTGCATCTCATAAAAGTTTTTTATTTACTACACTAACCTCATAGAATCTCAAAATGTTTGATCTAAAGACAAACAAAAACTATAGTTATCTTTAATATCTTTATTCAGGGGGGAAACCAAAGCTCAGAAAATGGAAGCCTCACGGTGAACCAGGGGCAAAGCCAGCACTCCAAACAACAACGGAAAATGTAGATAAAATCTGAGAATTCCTATGGCTGACAGCTGTGAGGCAGCTTTCAATTTTTTGAGCTGGGAAAGGGACTTACCTATGAAAAAACTGATGTAGTCTTTCTTCAGTTTATCCAAACCAATTTCCAAAACCATCTGAACTGGAACAGTCCCACTGAGAGGAACCACGTCCATGGGCCCATGGTAAGACTGATGAATGAGCTTACTTAGCAAGCTGTTACTCCCACTATGAAGCTAGGCATCGAGAAAAGTTTATAAAACCACAAATAAAAACAAAAAAGAAGTCCAGTGAGCAAAAGAGAAGCAAACTGTATTAGCTAAAAGCTAAAAATTATAAGCTTACATTTTTCATCTCCTGACGCTACAAATTGTTTGAATAAAACCTCCAAGTCACAAACCCATCAGTTTCTAAAGTGCCATTCCTACCTCATTTGCTTAAGTCCAAAGCAATTAAGAAGGGTTTAAACGCATCCAAGACACAATTCTCCCAAAGAGAAGGCAGAGGTGGTCCTTTGAAGCTTTACAACTAAGAATTCTCTCTTCCTGACCCATTAAGTGCTGTTGGGCATCTTTTCCAAAACTGAGCATCTTCAACTACACTACAGAACTGCTGCTGCTCCCGCAGTGGTCCACGTCCGTGTCAGAAGGACCTCCTTATGGGCTATAATATCCCACATGTTAACTTGGTCCTTTGAGAACTAACGAGGGCTGTGAACTTACAGATCTAACATGGGTTACAAATGTTAAACAATTTTAAACCAAACCAAAATATCTGACACTTTCTTGCTACTGTCTTTTTTGTTATCTCCAATTTCCACCACAATCTTTTGTATTTGGTAGGGGCACACGTGTAAGTATCTCAGAAACACTGAAACTCTCAAGAGAAAAATTCAACGGCCAAGACTAAAACGCCTAGAATGACTAACAGCCAAATAGGGGGAGGGTTTGCATGCCTCTGCTCCAAAGCATCTCTCTATTCACACCTATGAAAGTTTCTAAGTTTTGTAGTCATGAATTGGCAGCTGCGTTATTTAAAATAATTCCTATTAAATGAGGAATCTTTTTGTTTCTAGCTTGTAACTCTGGTTTTTCTTGATTATAAAAGCACAAAATCATTACGGAACATCCGTAAAGTACAGAAATACATAATACAGTTGGAGAACCTCATTTGATTCTCATTTCATCCTGTCTCCAGAGGTGACTGCTATCACATTTTAGCATTTTTGTTTCCAGGCTTTTCTCTCCAAAATTTGTATTTTTAATACAATAGTGTACAATCCTTTCCTTTTTACTAAGTATTATACGCATTTCTCCACATCATCTGTCAGCACCATTTATAGCAACTATTACATGTGCCATTATGTGGCTATGTCATTATTTACTTAGGTATTCCATTGATGGTGAAAATTTAGGTCATTTATAATTTTTGCTATCATAAATGAGGCTGTAATGATGATTCCGATACATAAAATCTTGATACGTATTTCTATAATGGCTTTAGGATGGATCCTAAAGATTCATAGGGCATGATACATTTTGAAGATCTCAAGACATTATCAGAATTGCTTTTTAAAGAGAAACTGGAACAAAACTGCTTTTGTTCCAATTTGTACTCTCATCAATAGCTATGAGAATGATCATTCATCTCAAGTAATGACAATATTAGTAGCTTACAAACACTGAGCACTTAACTATGAGCTAGCTCGGTGCTAAGTGTTTCACATGAATTAAATTATTTAATCCGAAAACAACACTATGAGGTAGTTATCATTCCCTACTTCAACTTGACAGATGAGGAAACTGGGGCTCAGAGAAGCCAAAGAATCTGCCAGAGTTTATACGGCTAGAAAGGAGCAGAGCTGGAATTCGAACTCAGGCCGTCTGCTCCAGAACCTGAGTCCTTACCCACTGTGCTGTGCTGCTGAGAATATGTTTAACACACACTACTAAACCTACCCATGGCTGTATGTCACCGCGCTGGAGGCTCTGGATGATCAATGTGAAACACTTCACCAGGTCTTGATATGAAACCACACCTTGGAAAACAGGTCAGTCTAACATTATTTTCATGGCTACTTCTGCAGATCAAATATGTCATTAATCTTAAGGATACACAAATGAAGTGGAAGATAAGTATCTGAATTTTATGGATGTGAGACAAGGAAAGCAACCAAAACCAAAAAAAAAAAAATTTATGTATTTTTCAAGAGAGAAGTTAAACTCATTTCCATAAAATAACATACCTAGAAAAATATTATGAAATATCTTTTCCTCTTTCTAATAATTGTAATTTCACTAAGGTATATTTTGTTTCATATAAATATAGCATAAAAACCACCTAAGTCTTGGTGGGAGGGTATAGCTCCTAGCAGTCACAAGGTTCTGGGTTCAAATCCCAGCACCTCCATTAAAAATAAATAAATAAATAAACCTAATTACCTCCTGCTTCCAAAAAAAAAAAAATTTTTTTTTAATTTTAAAAAAATTAAAAATTAAAACAAAACAAAACAAAAAGACCCCATCTAAGTCTTATACTTCAGGCAGGAGAAGAGAAGAGATTCTACGAGTTGCCTTGTCTTAGGACAATTCTTGAGCAGAATGTGCCAATGTATTATTAGACATGAATTTCATAAAATGGGAACCAGATGTCCACACAAGACTAGCAGTGCACACTGTATTATTTCCAAAAGACTTAAAAGTAAACCTAAGGATAACAGGAAACATTTTATTTCCCAGTCCTGATGGACACTTACTACTGCTCATTTTACACCACAGCTGCTCAGCAAAATCCAGGTCACCCCGCACTGTGAGAAGACACTCCATGGACCGATCAACCGCTGCGGAGTCGTGCTTCACTGTCTGGAAAAGAAGTCAGCGTCAGAAATACTCGTTTATTTTTTCAAAAGTGAAACAGTTGAATGCCAATAAGTTTTCAAATGCCGCTCTGAGAAAATGCGGAATCACGAGCACATACAGAGACATGAATGCATCTTCTGTAACCTCATTCACTAATAAGGAGCTACAAATCCATAGACAGTGAGAAACTGGACCTCTAAAATTGTTCTTAAAGGGTGATGCCTCAATCAAGCATTCAACTTTCCTTCCATGTGAAAATATTTAATTAAAACACCTTTGTCTCCATTCTCCTAGTTGTCAAATGGTAACATATTTAGCTCAATTTAATACCACCTGTGGCATATTAACGAAACATCTCAGAGCATTTTTCACATACTACAGTAATATCACCTCATAGTATGTTAACATATCCATTTCTACTTCACTGCAGTTAAGCAATTAATAATCAATGCATATTAGTTCTCTTTAAAAATATTCATCAGTTCTCAGGCAGAACAATCACCAGTGCTGACTTTAAAGACCAAGCAAAAGCTACCCTCAAAACATCGTCTTGCCTGGACCAGATCCATTTGAGACAGTAGGACATAAAAGACAAGAGTGCAACTAGACTTTAAAAGCTATTTCAGTGTATTTTTCTAATAACAATCACTTACCTCTGTGTCTTTTTTTGTAGAATCACCAAGTTCATCCAGCTTATTTAGGTCTAGAAAGTGGCAAAAGCTTATTAACTCTGAATTTATTTTTCTGCTTTCCAACTTATTTCTAGCCTAATCCTATTTTCAAATGGCAAATAAGCATAGTAGAAATATAACTGGGGATTTTAGCAAATTGCTTAACTCTCCAACAAGGCTATAACAGATCCCCACTAGGTAGGGCAGTGAGGATGCACTGAGGTGCAATGAAAGCCCCTGGCACAAAACGTCAGGCACATGGTGGGAGCTCAGAGGTACCATTCCATCCCTCTTCTCCTACAATCTCAAATATGACTGCAGTACATGATATATAAATTTAAAACTTTTAAAGCCTTAATTAATTTATTTATTTTTGGGGGGAATTAAGTTTACTTATCTATTTTTTAGAGGAAGTACTGGGGACTGAACCCAGGACCCCATGCATGCTAAGCATGCGCTCTACCACTTGAGCTATACCCTCTCCACTAAAAACATATTATTAATTCTTAAAATTACTTTATCGTTAGCAATTTAGAACAAAAGCTGTCCCTCTCACCATGACAGACCTCATAGCTTTATCTCTATCCCAACCGAAAAGCATACCAAGCCTGAAGGGACAACTTATATTTAAACAGCAAGTATAAATCATCAATTAAGAAAAATAAACCAAAAAAAAAAAAAGTGTGAGTTAGGAAAACAAACACCATTCAGAAATTCCTGCACAAGTTCAACAGCAGATTTTGTTTCCAGGGGCTCAGGCCATTCAGTTACACCAGTCCTTAAACCATCAGCCAAAACCTGTAAGAGATTAAAAAAAAAAAAATGAAAAACCCAAAACTTGTTAGCAGAAGATATAGCTTAATCAGTAAGACATATTCAATAATATTAGTCGATATATATCTTGCATGTTTAATCAGATGCTGGGAACTGTTCTAAGTGTTTCACAATGCAGTATGTTATTTAATCCCCACAAAACCCCTATGAGGCAGATACTACTATTACTCTCATTTTACTGAGCCTAAGAGAGGTTAATTAACTTGCTGAAGGTCACACAGTAACTGTGCCAGGACACATACCCAGCAGTCTGATGCCAAGGATGGTGTTGGGAACTCTCATTACGTGCGCACAGGTGCTACCGAGGATACAAGAGCAATGAGCCTGCCTTGAAGATGCTCCTAATTTTGGTTAAGGACTGATAATACAGATGAAATACCTGGGCAATGACAAATGTCAGACTGAATGGAAGTTAATGTGAAAGTAACATGTATGTGTATGCCTATATGTATAATATCTAAACTGAAGTAAGGAAAGAGGTCAAGACAGGCCGAAAGAGCCAGAGGAACAATGTGAAACGTCAGCTCACCAGCTCAACTCAAATGTGGGGACCACTGGCTACAGAGCAGAGAAAGAGTAGGGAGTAAGATGAAGAGGGTGGGATGATTCCAACAGGCTGAGGAAGACATGCAGGCAACAGTGGGAAACGGGACGACACGGATCCAACTTACAAAAAAATAAATAAATAAGATTACAAGGAATAGGGGTTGGACAGGAACCCCTAAGATTAAGTGATCTTAAAACTTAAAAAGATTTTGTTATTTCACATGGAAGACAACAGCCATTGTTGGTTTTTGGCAGGAAAATGACATGATCAAGCAGCTAAGAATTCCTCTGTCAGAAATACCCGGATAGATTCTAAGGAAAAGAGAAAGTACAACATTTCTCAAAAGAAGTGAGATCATCCTCCTCTCCACAGGGGGGTCTTTGGGAAAATGTGAAGATAATTTTTGGTGCCACAAGGACTGTGTGTACAGGCGCACTTCAGGCATTTAGATGGGTGGGAGCTAAGGATGCTAAACATCTTGCAGTGCGTACAATGGTCTCAAAGCACAAGGGATGATTCTGCCCAAGATGCTGAATGTGAGTCCCTGTTGAGAAATAATGAAGGATCATTAGTGTGGTCCAGGAGGGAGTTGGTAAGGGTGTTAACTAAGACGGGCACAGGTAGGAAAACCTCAAAAGAAAAAACAAAAACAGTGTATTTGAGAAGCAGAGAGAGAAAGAGAAATAGAGACAGACAGACAGAAATATATGAGGAATAAGACAAAAGGAAACATCCTACCCATTTAAAAAAATGCAGGGGATTGAACTTGGAGAGACTATGGCCACGTGCACAGCTAAGAGTATGACTTTATATAAGGGAGGTTATAGCAAAGCATGGACTTTCAAGTCAGACAGACAGACATGTATGTGAATGAGTTTGAAACCAGCTCTTCCACTTACCCACTGCTGATAGCTTAGGCAAAAGCACCGAACTGTCTAGCACCACATGCTGGGCGCACAGCAGAGTGGCAGCTCCTAGCTGGGGTAGTTAGTGGTGGTGGCAGAGGCTGTCCTTACTGAAGTAAAATAGAAGGTTTCTAGCCTGGGAAATTGAAGGAATGGTGAAATCACAGAAAGAAATGGGGGTCTTTTTAAAGGGATTTAGTCTGGAGAGGATTTCAAGTTTCATTTTGGACACACTGAATTTGAGGGAAGAGTTCTCTACTCAAGTGGGAAATAATTTGATGGAAGCGGAGAAGATGTCACAGATGCCAACCCAGCAAAGAGACAGCAGAAGGGCACACTAGGCAGATCAAGGCACACACACACACATCAGAAGGTGACAGTGTGAGGGACTGGAGCTACACAAGCAGAGAGCACAACATGGCAAAGCAGGGCGCGAGATTAAGTGCAAAGAAATAAATAATAAGTAAGATAAGTAGGAGCTGATAAGAATATGAAAAGATGGGCAATGTCATGAACCATCAGGAAAATGCACATCAAAACCGTAATGAGGTACCACATCATCCCCACTAGGATGGCCATAAGAACAACAGAAAAGACAGTACCAAGGATCGGCAAGGATATGGAGAAACTGGAGCCCTCGTAGGCGGCTGGTGGGAACGTAAAATGTTGCAGCCACTTTGGAAAAGGTACTGCTTGGCAGTTCCTCTACAGGTTAAACGTTGAGTTACCATATGACCCAGCAACTCCACCCAAGAGATATGTAAACATATCACATAAAAACTTATTACGTGACTATGCATGGCAGCATTGTTCGTAAAAAGCCAAAAACTAGAAACAACTGAAATGTCCATCAACTGGTGAATGGATAACCAAAATGCATCATATCAATACCCTGGAATGTTATTCGCTAATAAAAAGGAACAAAGTATCACAGAGGGTAGATTAGTGCTGCCAGGGGCTGTCAGGGGCGGGAGGTAACTGCTAATGGGGTTTCTTTTTGGGGTGATGAAAATGCTCTAAAATTAAATATGATCATGGTTGTACAACTTTGTAAGTACACTAAAAACCACTGACCTGTACACTTAAAATAAGTGAATTTTATGGGATGTACTTTATATTTCAATAGAGCTATTTAAAGAAAAAAAAAAGAACGAAGCAGGGTAGGGACTGGCTATAACTGGCTTTGTACGTCAACCTAAGACATCTGGAATTTCTACTGCATTAAAACGGGCTCCCCTACTCACTATGAGATTCTATTTGTAGAGTAGAGCTAACATGACTGAAATATAAAATTCTTGAAACCCATGCTCATTAATCTTTAGCATCAGTCAAAATCCCATTTATTAACAAGCTGATTATATACGTATTTGGGATAAATTGGCAGCTGACTCACCTGGAAAGAGGGGACTCCATCATTTGAATAAAACCCAAATGCTTCAGTACAAAAGGCGAAAGAACTGTTAACTATTAACTACTAACTAGCTAACGAATGCTCCCTTTAATTGCAAGGACAGCTACCACATAGTAAATAAAATCAAACTGCACAAATTGTCAAGAACATAACATCTGGAACAAATTTTGAAGAACACAAAACTAAATAACAATGATACTAGCCCACAGTTTCATGAAAACATGGAATTTAATGCACGTAACAGATTCCGGAAGGATACTCACAAGGAGGAATTTCAGTTCTCTGTGAAGATGATTCAGAGGACCTCTGGGCTCTCCAGATTCCACCTTGATGTTCTAAAAAGTTCCCAAAGTCAGTTTTCACTGGTAATCCCACCTTCTCTGCATAAGGGTCACAGTTACTTGCATCTCAAACTACCCATATATTTAAAAATATATTTCATAAAGCTCTGAATTGAAAAAGTAGAACACTTTACCCAGAGATGCCACAGACCCTGCCCATCCCAATACAGTATCCCAAATTCAGGCCACCACACCCCACTCTCTATACCACAGCTGTAACTACATGGAACACACGCCCTCCTGCTCTGTCCCACTGAATTTCCAAGAGGACAAGGAGTAGAAATACAAATAAATACGTCTCAAGACCCAGTGACAAACTTGGCATTACTCCACACCACAAATACCCGCCCCCCAAAATACTGGCTCATAGACTTCTAACTAAGGCAACGGTGAGCCGTCTTAGCCAGGGGTCAAAGTTTTACAAACCTAAAACCTTAAAAAAAGGGGGGGAGGGGCGGGTAGGGGAATGAAAGAAAAGAAAATAGGAAATGTTGTTGTATGCAAATTCCTACTGCAGGAAAAGAAAAGTACTAAGAATATTATTATCCATAAGGCCTGAGGGAACCACTTCTAACACTATCCAGGCCTTTGTGTACACATTTTTAAAAACCATAGTTGAGATCCTACTGAACATACAATTTTGTACTTTTGGAGGTTTTTTTTTTTTTTTTGCATAATAAGCATTTCTTCTCATTATTAAAGATGCTTTATTTATTTCTGTATTTATTAAAGATACTTTAAATCATGTTTTTTTAAAATATATACTATTCATCATGGAAATTTATTTTAATCATTTCCCTATTCGACATTCAGTTTTGTTTTGTTTTTTAATATTTTGGAAACACAGCCCTATCACTGCATTGAATATCTTTGTACATTTATTTTTGTTACTAATTCTGATTAATTTCTTAAGGCAGATCCTAGAAATGTAAATATAGGGTGAAAGGGCTTAAAAGGGTAACGATCCCTGATGTGTTTCCCATATTTGCACTCAACAGCAGAAGACTCTAAGTCACTCTGATGAGTCCATTTGAGACCCCACTCGAAAGACTTTATTAATCACTGGAAAACTCTTGTGACATAATTGTAGTACGGTGGAGAGCTGATAGATCAGATCACGCTGGCAAAACCTCCGCTGGCTGCGCTGGTGAGACTAGGGGCAAGCTGAGTGTTTCGGGGCTGTCCAGTGGGGGCGGGGACGGGGAGGGGACGGGGGCGGGGCTGGGAGCGTATGGCACCAGCAACAGGCAAGTTAAAAGTCAACCCAGCCTGAGTAAACGCAACAGAAAATAGGGTTCGTCCTACCAGAGCTGCCGTTGAAGAAAGTGGAGGAATCTGGAGAATCTCGTCCACAGGACTCCAGGAAATGTCCAACGTGATGGTAGTTTGGGATGTGGCAACTGTGTCATCCAAGGCAGTGGACTTGAAGAGCTCATACTGTGCAAAGCCCCTGGCTGTCACCTGCAAAGAGGACATCCAGGAGACCATCAGCTATGCCCCCCCAGGGCCAGAGGCGCATTATCAAAACTACTTTGAGGGGCGCAGGGTATGGCTCAAGCGGCAGGGCACATGCTTAGCATGCACGAGGTCCTGGGTTCAGTCCCCAGTACCTCCTCTAAAAATAAATGAATAAGGAAACCTAACTACCTCCCCCTGAAAAAAATGAAATTAAGAAAAAATAAAATAAACGGTATTTTGTTAAAAAGGCTACTTTGATTCTTTTCCCACAAGAAGAAAAAGTGCCATGCTTTTATCTCAAATGGAAAAATAAGACAATTCTTTTTCATCACAAAGATAAGCTAAAAGGTGAGGGATATATTTTTAGTCATTAGTTGATATAACAATAAATACATTTTGATACTACAGGAAAACTCTAGTCATACTAAGAGTGAAAAACCTTTGAACTGGGAAGGTAGATTGATAATAGTTTGATGAAAACAAGAATAGAAGAGAAACACTTACAGTAGACAAGTGATGTCTTTTCTTGTGTGAATTTTTTAGGTCTTCAAGATTGACAGAATAATTTTTATCAGCTACAGGACATGAATGAAAGAAAAAACTTTAGAGGTACAATTCAAAATCACATCATTAGAGCTAAAAAATTATGATCCCTCAAATTCTGAGGGTACCACAACACTAATAATTGTTGAAATCAAATTTTAAATCACAGATGAAGGAAATGTTTTTAAAAGAACGAAAGTGGAACAAAGGCCAATCCTACTACCAAAAGTGCAATTAAATGTTTACAATGAGATTAGGATTATATAGCCATTATATTCAACTTTTTTATCCTTCAGTGAAAATTCCCCAAAAATATCCACACATAGATGAGATGAAACCCAAACAAAACAGCCATAAACTCCTGTTCTGACGTTTGGAGATCTGTTTCTGGAATATCTCCTACATGCTGCAAGTTACACACTAGAGTAGATTCATGGTGGCTAACGTAAATTCTGTTGTGCACTTCTCTCTTAATAACGAGTTTCAGTAAAAATCACAAATAAATAAATACACACACTCATAAAAGAGTGAGCTCTCACCTTTACAGCTGACCACATACAAGACAACTCCTGTAACGCTGTTATTGGTTGTGAGAAGCTCAGCTCCCAGCCAACAGGTACCTTCAGGATCTGAACTGTCACATCTTATCCAAAGGGGAGGAAGGGCAGTGACTGGCGGATTCATCTTCAAATGGGTCATATTAGGATTGTGCGCCATGGTATAAAGTCCAATTAACTGTCTTGGGAACAAGAGTAGGAAGAATAAATCGTAAGCAGAGATTGTCGACCAGTCAAGAGTTTTCTTTTCCATGAAGAGTTACCTTCGATTCTGACTTTGATCCTACTTCTGATCGCCAACTAAGATTCTACACCCTGTTCCAAAGTGTAGGGTTTTTCCGTACACCAAGCAATTCTCTGACACCAGCTGGGTATCCTACAGTTCAGCTCAATTCTGAACTGTTTACCCAAAGCAGACATCAACTCCTCCAGGTTAGACACTCACTCCTACAAGGCTGACCCCCATCCTCCCACTTCACATGCCAGTTCTGAGTCCAGACTGTCACCTGTGCTACTGACTGACCAGCTATCGATGAAAGGTTCCAACAACCCCTCCTTCGGTTCAATTAATTTGCTAGAGTGGCTCACAGAACTCAGAAGCATTTTGATAGATTACCAGTTTATTACAGAAGGACATCACTTAGGAACAGACAGGTGGAAGGCATGCACAGGGCAAGGTATGGGGACAGGGCACAGAGTTTCCACGCCCTCTCCTAGCAAGCCACTCTCCCTGCATCTCCCTGTGTTCACCACTCAGAAGCTCTCCAAACCCTCTTCTTTTGGGTTTTCATGGAGATTTCATTACAGTCACGACTGATTAAATCATCTGCCTTTGGTGACTGGGCTCAACCTCCAGGCCCTCTTTGGTCCCTAGATGGTGGGGTGAGACTGAAAGTTCTAACCCTCTAGTCACATGGTTGGTTCCCCTGGCAACCAGCCCCCAATTTTAGGTTACCTGGGGGCAGTCCAAAAGTTACCTCATTAACATAACAAAAGACACCTCTATTGTTCTCAAAACTTAGGAAAATCCAAACGTTTTAGGAACTAGGTGCCAGGACGAAAACCAAACTACGTTTCTTATTATAAACCACAATATCACAGTATCCCAGAAACAAAAATATGGAAATTCAGTGGCAAAAACCATAAATATCTCACCCAGTGGAGAAGTGGGAGAAAGGTGCACCAGGCAGATCAAGAAAGACAGAGTGTGACAGGACTGTAACCACACCAAGCAGGGAGTTCAATATGGCAGGGACAGAGGGTCAGTGGGAGTGGATGTAGGCTGAGAGATTAAGGAAAAACAGTTAAGTAGCATATGTCAATTATATCTCAGTAAAGCTGGGGGGTGGGAGAAAGTGGAAGCCAGTAAGCATATGATAAGATGGAAATTTGAAAACAACCTATGAATTAGATAGTAGTATTGTCACACTATTAAATTTCCTATCTTGGTGTCTGTTCTGTTATGTAGGAGAACGTACTTGTCCTTAGGAAATACACAGTGAAATACACACTTAGGGGTGAAGGAGCATGATGTTCCAACCTATTGTCAATATTTCATTTAAAATATGTGCGTGTGAGGTATGGGTATGTACACAGATGGGGTGGGAGAGGGACAGGAGGAGAAATAAGAGAGAGAATGACATGGCAAAGACAGCAAAATGTAAGTAACTGTTGACTCTGGTTGAGGGTCCACAGAAGTTCCTGTACTATTAACTTTCCTGTGAATTTGAAAGTGTATCAAAATTAAAAGTTACCCCAAAAAATGGCTTCAAATTTTTTTTCCCCAAAGAGATGAAAACTAAATTTATTACCAACAGATGTTCAGGAAAGGCATTTCTAAGGGACTGAACTTCAAAAAAGAAACACAATAATCCCAGAAGGAAGGTCTGAAATGCAAGAAGAAATGGAGAGCAAAGAAATGATAAGCCGATGGATAAATCCAAACACAGGCTGGAGAAAAACAATACAAATAAATAATGTTCGAGTTGTGGGCAAGAAAAGAAAAAAAAAGGGGGGGTGCAGGGGACGCCAAACATGACTTAAAATCAAGAAGACTTGAGAGAAAAGACTGATTAATTACAAAGCATTTCTACTCAGCAAAACAATAAAAAATCCACCATGAAGGAAGTCACTTTCTGAACACTGTTATTATAGTCATTATTCTCTAATGTTACTGTATACATGACCAGATCCTCCGGAATTCCTTGATGGCAAAGATTTTTTTGGTTTTGGAGTTGAGGGGTCTGGGCAGAGGGAAAGTCACACGGCTGGGCCGGGGGCGGGGCAGGAAGTGAAGCTGGCAAAGCACACAGAAACAGAAGGGCTTCTCACGGGGGGGGGGGGGGGGGGGCTCGCCGAGCATTCGGTTGGGGTTACGGTAACCTCCGTTCGGTTGGAAGAGGAGACGCCCCCCAGCTCACTGCACGGCCC